GACTAATGCTCGTACAACGTCACCGATGAACACGTCGAAAGATAGAGGTGCCCACTGAAGAACGTTGATGACGGATTTTGACATCGAGTACTTCTGTTTCCAGGCTTCAGCAATAATCCAGAGACTCTTATGAGAAATTTGACATCGTTTTGGTTTTCCTGTTGACCCCGATGTCCTAATGACGTATGCAATGTCACCTCCCGTTGATCTGCTTTCGTTAGATTTCCAAACTACTTGTGCATCTTGGGAAAATTTCAATATATCCTCGACACTCCATACAGGACAGCTTGTAGATACGAATTTGATCGTGGGTGTTTCTACGTTGTACAAAAGTGCAGCTGGTGTTTCACACTCAAATATATCTTTCAAACATGTTTCATTACTCAAAGCAACCGGCAGAAAATGACCACCAGCTTTCCATATGGCGAGAATAGATGCTATAGCATTCTGGTCTTTCTCCATAACGATAACTACAGGGTTCTGCTGAAGAACTTGTTCTGACAAACTTTTACTCAAAAGATGTGCGATTCTTGTCGAAATAGAGTTTAGTTGACCGTAGGATGTGTTGTTTTCATTAAAAAATACTGCTGTAGCTGTAGCATCTCTTGCAGCATATTTTTCGAATTCTTTGTGAACTGGGAGGTGGTACTTTTCAGAATGATCAGGGTCTGCGTTGAATGATAGCAATAGCTGAAGTTCAGAAGGAGAAAGGATTTCTCTTTCAAAAAGCATTTCTGTGGTTTGAAATCCTTCACTTGAGAACATTGCTACGGCATTAGATAGCCGTTTAGCAGTGTCGCTGTCTATCAAGCCATCTGCCCATTCAGATATCAGCCTGCATGAATCTGTTTTCTCATTGTAAATGATATCAAGACTAAGAGGCATTTTTGCATGTTTTGAACCAATTCGAAATATTTCATCTGTCTGACAATGTGTTGTAAAGTTAAACATAACGCTGCAAAGCGTATCCAGACATCTGCCGTTTTCTTTCCACAGTGACTTGGTAACCTGCTCTATAGGATACCGGGAATGGCAAAGCGCTTTCCACCATTCAACTGAGATGTACTTGACAAATTCTTGTAGTGTTTGGTTCTTGTTAACTGCGACTCTGAACAACACTGTGTTGATAAACAACCCATCTGCCTTCATGCTCATATCACTTCTTGTCGTTACCGGTATAGCAATGATGAAATCATCAACGCCAAGGTATCTCTGAAGTACTAGAGATGTACACGAGAGAAAGTACTGAAAATGTGTTACTCCTAACGCTTTACAATATTTTGTGATTTCCTTCATCATTTCTTTAGGCAGATCCCAAACCTCTTCTCTTGCTC